TACATACATGTAACTTGTATGCAAGTATCATATGATCTTATACATTTATAATATTATATAAACTTATAAATAATAAAATTTATACATTAAATAGACAAAAACTACAAAAAACAATATATGAAAATAGAAATGAACAATAATAGAAATAAATAAATGTCATATTATTACAGAATAGAATATTGTGGAGAATAAAATTTTATATTGTCGTAAATAATTTTATAATATTTAATTTATAATATTATTTGTATTGCACTCCGTGCATCGTACGAGTATCAACACTAATATTAAATTACATAGTTTAATTTTTTTTTTGGTATAAGAAAGGAGGCAAAGTATAGATCGCCTAAATCCAATGCAATAAATAACAACCTATTATATATGGCGAACATCAAACGAGGTCATGTACAACAAACAAACGAGGTCATGTATAGGAGGCAAAGTATAGATCGCCTACCATGCTTATCTTATGTGAATCTTGTACAACAAACAAACGAGGTCATGTATCTTATCCCTACAAGACAAAAACGAGGTCTAAGAATAAATAGGGCGAACATCAACTTACTTTGTATTCATTTTTTCAGTGTTATCATATTATGTTTTTCTCTCGTCTTCCATCTCTCTCTCTCGTTCTATCTCTCTCTCTCAATCTTCACGAGATTCGCACATTCAACAAGCCACCGCCGTGGCTCGACCTCCCTCTGAAAAAGGGGCTGACAGTCCTCAAACACCTCAGCGGGCTCGGTGGGCCCACCAAGTCGTGGCGGAATCCGGCGGCGTCCTCTTCTTCGTCCGCTGCCTCAGCAGAGCCCAGAGCCCCAGATCTCATCGAGATCAACCTCCCGCCGCCGCCGGTCCCCTGTCGGAAGTTCAGATACGACCCCGACAAGCTGGACGCCTTCGGCTACTTCTACACGAGGACGGAGGACTACCAGCGCTCCGGCGGCCAGGGGATCTACTTCAAAGGCTACTCCCACAACTACCTTATCGCCCTGGACGCGAACCTCTCCGCCTGCTACATACAAAACGGCCTCAGGGGCGGGCTAATTTTCCCACCGCCGTGGGACAGCGGCGTTCCGTTCAAATCCGCCACGTTGTCCTCCTCCTCCTCCGCCTCCTCCTTCTACTCCGTGGAGACGATGGTCATCACCGGAATCTCGACCCCTGCCTTTGGGTTCTACTTTTACACCTGCAAGAGCAATCTCCGGGAAAATGGATGGACTTACGTAAACTGCACTGTTGTAGATCCGTACTCGGCCGCCGCCGGCGAGTATATGGAATTCACTAATGCAATTGGGCTCGAGGGGAAATACTACGCTATTAGCCGGCAGGGGAGTCTTGCTGTAATCGAGGACGTCAGCAACACCAACACCTGCGACTACCACTACCAGATTACAGCTGTAGGAGAAAATCGTGCCGTGCCCAGCTGCCAAGGCACAAAGCATTTCAGGGAGCACTTGCTCGAGTACGGTGGGGAGATCTATTTGGTTTTTCTGGTTTCAAAAAAATGGGTGGAAGTGGTGGACCGAGTCGAGGTTTTCCGGCTCGACAGGTCGAGGCTAGTGTGGGAGAACGTGGAGAAGATGCTTCCGGAAGACGGGCTGTTTTTTGTCGGGCCCAAGGTGTGCATGGGGATTAAATCGGGCCTTGTCGGTTGCAAGGGGAACCGAGTCTACTTCAACCATGATGGGGCCGATACTTGGCATGTCCTCGATATGGGCTCGGGAAAAATTTCACAGACTTCTGGGCCAGAAGTGGATCTTACTGAGGCCCACATTCCGGGTATAATTTCTACTGTCCTCGACTACTGAAGGTGAAAGATTAGCTCTTTGTTTGTGTTTATGTTTGCGTTTGTGCTTATGTCTCGTCGTATGCTCGTTTCTAGTGGTTTTTCTAGTTTCGTCTTTAGATTTGCGAAATCGTGTTTATGTGTGTAGCTAGCTGCAGGTCTTATGTGCTTTTGTTCGAGTGGATTTGGTCTTGTCTTCGGTCGTTCGATGTTGGTGAAAGTTCGAATATGAAGTAATGAAAAAGAATGGCCTCTTTTTGTTAGACATGTTTGTGATGATGTTAATTTGGATTTTGGTTTAAATAGATATGAACAAACAAACAAGCAAACAGGGGTTGAAGTCTTGGTGACTTCACTCTGTTGTGAAATCAGCAACAATGCATGAATATGGCTAATAGTTAATTGAAAATGAGCTATTTTGTCTCTTCAACCATATGGAAAACCTGGAATTTGGTATTTTACAACCAGAGTTTTTCTACTCGGCTCGATCTACGACTAGTCAAATTGATGTTCGTGGATAACCGTTGCATTTCTTTTGAAAGTATTCTTGTATATTTTTCCCTTGATGAGTAACTATAAATGAAAGTATATAGATTTAATCTTGCTCGATTGAGGTCTCGTGTTCTCTCGTAATACTCTCTTATTCTAAACAATGGAATAAGAGAAGCCTTAAGCATTGATAGTAAACCTAGTATTATGATTGCACTAATCAGGCTCTTTATAGAAAGATATAACTAATCAGTCACTTACTAGTGATGATATATTGCAACCATGTTTAGGAAAATGTACAGACTGGATTAAGTTGGGAAAAAGATGATGACCTAGCCATACAAGAGCAGAGCTTTTATTGTGAAATTTGGACTGCTTCGGCTACTACAACATGAGGATTCTATTCTACCGATGAAATTTGTGCGCATTTTTTTACTGTGAGAAACAAATGTGGGTACTAACTCGATTATTACTTGCTTACTCGTAAATTACATACAACGAATTTTTCAGAAAACTACTAACTAACACAAGGGCAAAAAAGGTGTAAGATTCTCGAGCATCCAGAAGGACTCGTGGGTCCAGTCGATGTTGAAACTAGGCAGCTGAAGCTCGGTTATATTTTCCTTGGCGCCATTCGGCAGCACTAAACCGGTGTTAATCTGCCCTTTTTTACCGCTTTCAAAACTCACACAATCGTCAAATTGGCTAAGTTGACTGCAAAATGAAGTAGACTCCATTGGAGGAGAGGTTACCGGGATTTCTTCTTCCATAGCCGCCATCTTCTCTAAAACCTTCAACGAGGTCGCCTTTCTGTATATTTTGCACAACACTATATCCTGCCAAAAAAAACACATACACACAAGTTGCACATGAAAATTCGGTTAAAAAGACACGAGCTTTAGATCAAACTCTTGTAATAACCCGGTTAGAAAAGTTACATTTTTCCTTTTTTTTTAAAAAAAAAAAAACAATTACCTTAGGTGGGGAGCAAGAATCGGGCAAGCGATACTCGTTCATGATCCAATCGGTCTTCCTTCCGCGTGGGGCCCGGCCCTCGTAAAAAACGAGCGTTTTCTTCAGCCCGAGAATCTTTTTCTTCGGGTCGGTTATGCTGAGTATCTTGCGATCCGACCCGGTTGCCTTCCAGAACCCGGTTTCGGTTGTCCTGTTTGGCCTCCCTATGCTGCTCCCGTTTTTCCTATCCCTCGGCACGAAAAAATACCACTCCCTCCCATCGATTTTTGCCAGGCCTGCGTTTTTTTTTTTTTTTTCACGAAATCGAGAGCATAACATTTATTGATCACTTGCAAAGAAGACGAACAATATCAACTCGAAATGCGGTAAAAAAAGAAGTTACTTATTATTACCAGGTAACTCCCTAGGATCATGCTTGTAGATGTTGAGAAAACCGATGATATCGTCTCGTAATTTCTTTCCGAAAACCATGCTTCGAAGGTAGAAGTTAAGGAGCTCTTCTTCGGTCGGGTGAAATCTGAATCCCGGAAGATCGAGCTCGGAAGATTGTGGTGGAGTATTATCCATGGATTGAACACAAAATGAAAGATATATCTATGTAAGTTCTTTTTTTTTTTTTTTGTTTTATGGTATTGTTTTAGAGTTAAGCAGTTGGCTATATGAAGGGCCAATTTATATTGCAACAAATGTTGATAGCATGAGTGTGTTAACTATGTTGTTGTTGTTGTTGTCCATTTACAAGGAAAATGTTTGGTGTGGGGACATGTTTTGAAGTCTTGTTAATAATGGACAAATGACTAATTGAAAGTTCTCCTTTTTCACGCGGTTTTTGTGTTAAGTTTTTTTTGTTGGCTTCTAATTGCGGGGTCTCAATCTTAGAGAATGAGCGATTGAATGTGACGAGGAATTTTTAATTTGTTGAGTCGCTCGAGATGGAGATTTTCCTTTTGAATTGGTCAGTCTTTGGAAAATGTTCAAGTGCTGTTAAATTTAGGCAGAAGTGTTATTAAATTAAAGCTCGAGCTCATTTAAAGCTCGTTTGGTTAACGAGTCGAACTTGGCTTAGCTCGGTAAGGCTCGAAGAGAAAATTTTGTATAATTTTTTTATTTTTCAGCTCGTTAAAGCTCGAGCTCGAGGCCTAAACGAGCCGAGCTCGAGTTCAATTTGTGGCTCATTTATTAACGAGTCAAGCTCAGCTCGACTCGTAAAGGGCTCGAGCTCGTGCTCAGGTCAGCTCGTTTATAGGCCCATAGAACCATTTAGGGCATGGTGTATACAAAATTTTTCACTCAAAATTTGACTCAACTCAAAATCTAACTACTGAACTTTACTATCCTTAATATTATCAATATAATTAAATAATATCGTTCAATTATTTTTACACATCACATCTACTTTAATTCACTACTAGTACAATAACTCGTGTATTACACGGGTGTTGAATTTAGAAGCATATTTTAAAAATGTTGAATTTTTTTTTTTAAAAAAAATCTAAAACTAAAATAATTTAATTTTATGAAAATATTACTTTGAGCTTTAATTAAATTGTCAAACTACAAATCGAATTAAAAAATATTACTTTGAGTTTTAATTAAATTGTCAAACTACAAATCGAATCAAAAAATATATTATTCATTATTACATGAGTACAAAAACATATATCTTAGATACATAGAAATAATATGGTGATATGTATATGCATAAGTGTAGAATATGTTTGTTGAATATTAAGTAAAATAGATTAGTTTTTTACTTAATTAGTTGTCTAATAGATCAAGTGTTGTATCAATCGTGCTTCATATTTTTTTAATCTTTTTAATTTTGGAATATGAATAAATAATTATATTTTTGTTAGGTTGACAATATACCAATAATATTTGAAATAAATATCATTTTAAAATAATGATATTGTATTATTTCATCTTTGAAATGAGTAATATATGAACACTGGAGAAAAAAATTGAGAAATAAATTAATATGATTGATTTAGAAGATAAGTAATAGAAAAAAATAAATAAAAAAAAGTATTGAGATAATCGTGGAAGAAAATTTGATTAATATACATATATACATAAATGAAGGGGGATCAAATTTCACATATAATACCAAAAAAATTGAGCAATCAACTCTCTATAAACAACACATGCAATAGAATGGTTCAATTTTCATATATATCATAATATATGATGTGTGCAATACATATATCATCTGTGCAATGGAATGATTCATTTTGAATATGTTATTAAATATTGTGTTTTAAATAATTAGGGAATGTAATTATAGTATGTCCGAACCAATTTATTTTGGAATATAATTATATTAATTTTTATCCGCACCAAAAGCTGAAGCATGTAATGTTGCCAAGTAAGCTCCCGAAGCGTGCGAGCCAGCCATTTAGTCTCAGCACGTTTTGAAATTATATTAAGAGGGGATTCATCCACTCACATAATTTTAACTAACCATCAATTCTTATCATTTTTCTATTACTTTTACATCAAATCAACTTTAATTATTTTATTTTAAATTTTATTTTAATATAAATTTAAAATCCCACTAATTATTGGTATATGTGTCCTAGAGACAAATTTTTTTAGGACATATATACATGATCACATTAATAATTATATTGGATTATCATTATAGTATCGCAATTAATTAAATAATTGTTTGATTGTTTGTAATTTATTAGTTAATTGCTCCCTTAAGTTGATACCGTCATTAACAGAGTGAGATGTTAATTGATAAAGTGTAACTCTCAAATCGCCTCAATCGATGATCATTGAGAAATAGATATTAATGATATGCGATAGATTGACATGTGGTATGCATCATATTTTTTTGGAGAATAGAGTATGTCCCACTGGTATGAATAATTGTTATTCGTGGTGGACACGTAGATACTTTGGAGAGTATAGGCATACATCTACCGATAAACCATTTGTTTATGTGTCTATGGGAGACTGGGAGTATAAATGTGTGGAAGGTGTAACAGTCTTTTGACTTGAGGTCCATACGCAATTCATGTATAGATTGATTTACTTAGACCTAATCCAACGTTTACGTCCTTATGGGTAGACACGGGATCGTGTTGGGTAGATCACGATATACATGAAATTGGTAGTTGAGCCAAGATATGATCATTCCTCGAATATGGTTTCGAGAGAACACTCGTTTTCTCTATATTGGGTTGATAAAGTCATTGACCAATGCACGTGATTATATTTGAAATGGTGTTCAAATATAATTGCTAAAATCAACAAGTGAGATGAGATAAAATGATTAAGCTGTTTGGATAGACAGTTAAAATATTCAATTAGAGATTGAGAGATCAAGATCAAAATGATTAAGTTGTTTTCGACTAAGAGTGAATTGAGGGTGTTAAATATTCAATTAGATTAAAATATTTATTTATGAGTAATGAGATTATTTTCTATTTGATGGAAAATATTTAATGAAGTTAATTTAGATTTATACTTAATTAGTAATGAGATAATTTTCTATTTGATGGAAAATATTTAATTTAATTAAATTAGATTTATACTTAATTAAATTATTAATTGGATTAGGTCCAATTACCTATTGGGCTGTAGAATTTTCTAAGGCCCATATGATTATGTTGACCTAATTATAAATATCTCATTATCTTTTCATAATCATTAATCGAAAGAACGACGAAAAAGAGATAAACACTTTGAGAGATCCAAAATCTTAGAGATTGAGAGATCAAGATCAAAACACTATCTAGCATTCTGGATCGAGGATTCCTAGTTTATTTACCGAAAAGGATTCATTGGCGTTGGATCGTGCATCGAGAAACTGGATTGCGTGGATACCATAGTCGAGGACATAGACGAATAACGGTAAATTTTCGTTGATGATTCACGCGATCTAGGATCATATCGAATAGCTATAGCCGAATCTTCGTTGTTGGTAAGAAAAATTTAAAATTTCCAATGCGCGTACACTGAGTTCGTACTTCTAAATCCAACACTAATAACTAAACATACCTATCTTTTTCAAATTAACTCTAGTTAAACGAAAATACGCAAAACAAAAGAACAAATTTCATAGAAACAAAATAAATAAATGAAAAGAAAATCAAATTAACCGCGTCTTCTCCATCAATTCTTTAAGATGTTTTCCAAGTAATAATGAAAGAAAACACACACATTGTACCCAAAAAAAAAAAAAAAAAAAAAA